GAATGCTAAAGAAAAATATAAATACTCCTACTGAAAAGCTCTGCAATGGCCAGCATGCAGAACATTTTTCTTCCTAGCTGTCATTTGAGATCTTATACCCTGAAAAACACCTTAAAATTTTTGACTGCTGTGGTATAGTACAGTCTGCATCGAGTCACATGTTCAAGCCTTATCTGTTCTCCTTCACTCATACTGTGTGTTTAACAATGCATATTCAAACTATATTTCATATATATATATTTCATATATATAGCAGTAGCCTGCTAATATTGTTAGACTCTATTTCTCTTCGATCAATTTCTTCAACGTCTTATCAACACAAGTTTTCCTACTACATTGTTTTAAACAGTCTTCCTCCATCAGAGTAAAACTGATGAACTGGGGCCAGAGAGGAAATAGGTGGGGGGAGAATTTACTCTTCAGCAGCATATTTCACACATCTGAACATCTCAGAACTTCACTTATTTTGCTTTGCATCTTCTAAAGCTCATTTAGCAGCAGCCAGTATTCTTTTGCTTGAAGAGGACTGAAAGGAACTACTTCACAAGGTCCCACAGGAAAGATACAAGTTTACAGGATATAAGGCATCTGCCCACATGGCTGAATATTTATGTCCTGTTTCTAATTGGGGGCAGTGCTTGTGTGTTTTTGAAATCAAAATCATACTCAAAACCTTCAAATAACAGTATATAGTAGAACTGTACTATACCAATCAACTCTGTCTGAAATTGATTGAAATGCTAAACTGATTAAGATTTACCAACGTGTGAGGGTTTTTTTTTTTTTTGATTTGCAAAACCGTGAGAATAATGAGAAAGTGACAAAAAAGCAAGAGATTTAATAATGTCCTACCTTCCTCAGCTAGGTCCTTGTTAATAACCAGTTTCCCATGTCTGAGATAGTTCAGCACTGGCCCAAAGTAGGTCGGGTCTCTGTCTATTAAATACGCACCTGTTTCATCCTATATTAAAAACAAAACAAAAAACAAAACACACACACACACACAAAACACACACACACACACAAAACACAGCCAAAAAAAGCACAATGATTTGAATGCCCAAGCAGGTGTTCAGATATAGGCACAACACTTTAAGTCAAATTTGTTTAAGTCATTTAAAGGGATTTGACAATGTAGTTGTAAATATATTAGATTGGTCACTCAAGGAACCTATTACCTACTGGACAACTTCTTCTACCTGACTGATTCCCCCTTCATCAAGGGAAGGAGCATGACTGAACAGGACAAAAAGGAACAGAGATAAGCACTCTCTTACTAAAACACCAGATCGTTGTTAGTATGAAAGATCTAAGCAGTGAGAACACTGAAAATTAGGGTTAAAAGCAATACATAAAAGTAGGAAACTATCATTTTGCTTGGAAATCTGAAGAATCAGAACAAAGGCATCCCAGTGAGGTTCATATGCTATCTGTTTTTTTTTTCCCTAATAATTAAAACTAAACAAACCTACTTTTCTTTAACCTCAACATTTTGTTCAAAAATCTTTTGTTTGTCTTATCGCAGAAGTACAAATAATCACAAGGTACTGAGAATAGCTGCATACCAAGCAAGGGCTGTATGTGCATCTTCTAAATAAAAGTAAGCTGAAAGATGCAATCCCTACCTCACGCAGACTAAGAAAGAACAGATCAAACTGTAACTGGTGCTCAGTTTACCAAATACAATGCAGCATTCCGTGGAATGCAGTTCAAGAAATTCTCCTGCTTACCTGATATTCTTGACAATGAGATAGAGGATCAAAACTGATATTTGCTATATAATTTGAAGTTTAAGTGTGAACATGTGTGATCAATGCAACATTGGCATACCTTGTGTTGGTCAGAATTCTAAGGAAGATGTTTGGTAATGCAGATGTCTAACAGATCCACGAGTCCTTCCTACTATCAAGTGGATCACTAACAGTATTAATCCTCTTTAGTTCCCACAGTTTCACTGTAATAGATAATCTAAAAATAAATACTGGAGAGTTGCGGCAGCACCCACAAAGATTTTTTTTTCTTTTAATAGTCTACTAAGTTACACAAGATGCTAAACAGCCTCAGTACAAGCAATCCTAGCTAAATTTGAATCGTTCTGCCTAAGAGCTATAAGTGATACTTGTTGTTCCACACAAAAAAAATCCACTGACCCAATCCCTCGCACTTTGAAATTAATGCTGATATGTAAACGTTTGATTACTGAAACTGTGATACCTGAAAACTCTCCCTGTTTAACAGTACCTAAAGTTTTGAGTATGTCTCCTTGGAAAAAAAGACTGTGGATGTAATTTCAGGTACACTGATCTAGTTTCTGGAAAGTTGCGTTTGTCTAATCAGGATTATTAAAAAAAAACACTGGACCACAATCAGAACTACCACCAAAAAAAAAGAAAACATCACTTTTTGCAATTACAAACTAAGGGCTGTACACACTCAGAGGAGTGCACAGTAGCATTTTAGAATAATTAAGTGAAGGGATGCTACATATTATGTAAAATTAACTCTTTTATTCCTATAAAGCTGTTCAAGAAAATGACTGCTAATGTATTAAAATGTGCTGACAGTTAACCTACACTCAGAGCAGACAGTGCTTGAAGAAGTCTAATCACAGTTTCTTCTGTAAGCTAAACTCATGGTCTCACAGAAGTGAGACTATGTATCAAAAACAGTAGATGGATGACACTCATAAAATGGTATGTTTTAATGTGTTTCATATTTAAATATATTTACATTACCCAAACACTTCAAGAATAGATGACCTACAGGCACAATCTAAAGAAATTAAATTAGCTGATGACTGCACAAAGTATAAACTGAAGAGCAGTATTTAACATAGGAACAGAAACCAGGGAAGTTGGAAATGAAGGTCTAAAACTGATAAAAAGAAACACTTTTTTTTAAAGGAAGAAAGCACAGTCTTTGCTCATCGATTTGAAAAGAATTAAGAAACATATGGACTCACAAAAATCAGAAGTCATCTGAATTAGGGGATATACTAGCCTCTTTCTAGTCTCTAGAAAAAGTTTCTTCAGTAAGAAGATCATTCTGTTCTCTTACACTATGGTGTTTTCCCACATCACCCTCTGAAGCAATACTGCCACAGGCGTTGCACTATATCATCTAACATTAGAGATAAACAGACCGGTGGGTTACACAGAAGCAAAACATTTAAAAGTTTAAGTGAAATCTCAAGTAACAACAGTTACTTCATTCCTTGCACAAAAGACAATGAAAACCTTATTTTCTGTGCTTATGGACCACAGTATCCAAAATTATTCTTACCAGAATAGATTTCTCTGCACTAACTGAGCCGCCAACACAACTCATCTTTTCAAAAACAGAAAAGGAACAAGCTATGCCAAGCCTTCTCTTTCAACTCCCACCTAATGATGGGTCACCAGCAACCTGCATTGCCTGAATCCATTATCCTAGTGTACACAAAGCTCATTATTAGCACCTGTACCAAACACGCTTTACACTTACTGGCAGCATCAAATTTGTGCAACATTGCACGCTTTTATCTTCTAGCTATTTTCAACCCTTTTCTCATTACCCACAAACTTTTTTCCACTCTATCATCCTTCATCTCACTTTTTTTCCTCCTCTATTACACCCATTGCTTTCCTAACCAGTATCAAGTTTCCTTTCTCATCAAATTATCATCTGGAATCTATAAAAATGCTTACTATTAACACTGATAAATACAAACACTATCCCAAATATATGTATACATAGAACAGAATACCAGCTCATTATTGTCACAGTTTACTCTATGAAGTCTTTAAAGCAATAACGCATCTTTAAAAACAAAAAAAGAGAAAAGAGAAATCCAAGTCTCTTATAATTTATGGTATAATAGTTATTTATTAAAAAAAAAAAAAAGAATAATTATCAACGGTTGAAGTTTAAGAACTCTTGTTTAACTTCCAGAGTGAACAATCCAAATTCTGTCAACAGGAGAGATTCACTTCAGTATATAAATTCCATACAAAATTATGAAGAGACTAAACAATTAGAATAACTGGCCACCCTCTTACTTAGATCACAGATATGAAAAACATGCATTCGTAAGCATTCTTCTAAACAAAAAGACACGTGGCTTGGACTTTGCTCCTGTGAACTCCTATGTGCTATAGACTAGTCTTGATGAATCAAAACGCAAATCATTTGATAAAGAATATCATAAGCATGTGCAAAAGATGCATGGGTAAGAGAGGCACAAAACTGACTTCCTAAGCTTCCTCCTACAGAAAATACCTTCTCATTTTTTCTTGAGAGTGAGCTGCCTGATTATTCTTCAACTTGCACTAAGCACTTGATGTTGAAATCTCTCTAAGAAAAGCAGCTTACGCTAGAGCTTTAAGGAAACTTACGTAATTATAAATCCAATAAATGCAGACCCAGTAATACTGCAGTCACCTGCCCCACCTAGAGCTCTCAAAGTATGGGTCATAAGCTTGTGTTTGTTCCACACTTTCAGAATACTAAGTCAGCACTGGCTTCATTCGTGTGCTGTGAAAACACACTTTACTCTCATGTATAATTAGCGTTCTGGAGACTCTTTCTAAAAAAATAGTTTTATTTTAAGATAAGAAAAACATATACTTCAAATGTGACCTAGACAGTTTAAAGGTGCAACTACAGTTTGCGTAGACATAAATGAACTAGCTTGAAGCTTGCTAGCTTGAATATTAATAGCCTGTATTGTCCCAGCTATGCCACTTCCTTTGCTAACTACTTCAGTAGGATTCTACCAGCTTTAGACAAATTTGGATCTTCGCTCTGTCACAAACAGAGCAGGTATTTTGAATCTTATCTCCCAAATTCCACAACTGCCAGATAAATCTGTATTCTGATAGGGTCTCAATCTTGTTTCTTGTAGATATGTTCTATACAAACATATATGTTAACGCTTATCAGAACAGCAACTGGAATTTAGGTTTCCTCTCTATTCAGTACAGTCACATCACCACACACTGCGACACAGTGAGTATATCATACAAATTTTGCCAATCTTTGCAAGGATACTCAAAAAAATAATGTTCCAGTTGTCACTGTGCAAACACAAAAGCGATAATAAGCCATACAGGTGTTTATATGTTAATACACCCTTTAAGCAGACTTACAGCCTCTGAATACTTAATATAACAGCAGCACACTGAACCAATTCCTTTTTCCTACACTAGAACAACTTGATCTAAAAAACATTCTGGTTTTTCTGGTAAATGAGCTATGCAATCAAAATACAGCAAATAAGAATCCTGAGCTACATGGAAGAGTTTTCCCTCTACTCTTCTAAATCTTACCTAAACTTACTCCAGAGCTGTCTCCTTCGATATTTTTCTAGAATGGATGCACCCTGAATCCACGCTGCTCCTGGCTCAAAGCTTTGCTCCAACATACGTTTTAAAAACTGACGTCATTTATATATACTGAACAAGCAGAAGTTCTGCAAACAGCAGTGATATGCACAGAAAAGCAGTAATATCGGGTATCTTTATTTAGGATTCTGATTGTGGATTTAGAAATAACTTTTAGAGTCAACGCATCACAATATCATTCCATCCACCGCTAGATTTGCCAGAGATCGTGCCAAAGTTAACCTTCCTTCTGTTGCAACCGGAAGCACATCCACTTCTAAAAGACAGGCTGAATAGCCTTGTTCAACAATAGCATCTCCAGATAATTTGAAGACAGACATGATGCCTTTCTTGAAGCCTTTCAATTCTTTTTAGTAGCAAGAATTAAGGAAATATTATGATTTATGTAGTTAAATAACAAAAAAAAAATCTGCTGATGTACAAATAATAGTAGAGAAAAAACACTATGACACTGACGTTTGCAGAGCATAACCTATGCCCTATAACCGCTTCTAATAAACCCATCTACTTATCATCTCTTATAACTTCTTAACATACAAACATTGTTGATTTTGATGTGCTTGACTCCTTCAGTTTAGGCAAAAACGTTCTATTACTAATTCTGTTTTTTTTCTTATATATCTATTCTAATTTCTATTCTGAGATAAACACTTCTTATGGTTTTATTTTCTAAAGATTTTGATTTGGCAATCTCGCAAAGCAAGAAGGAATGTGAACTAATGCTTTTTTTCCCCCTCAAAGACATATATTTACTGGTGCATGAGCTAATTCAATTGTTGGGTCTTCTTCTTGCTCTTGCACCTGGATGTGCAATCTGCCCTCCTCCCTTTTGTCAGTTAGAATAACATCAGAACTTTCAACAAGCTGGTTTAACTCACTGAAGTAGAAAAAACAACACTCCTCCCCCTTTTTTGCTAAGTACCAACTTCTCAGATGGTGCACGGTCAGAGGAATATGAAATATGCCTACAAATTACGAAATGTTATTACGAGCTTAATTCTGTATTAATCTGTTGAAAATATATCTAAAACTTCCGCAAACAAGTTACTGAAATGCATCCCAGACAAACTGCCTATATAGGGAACACAACATACTTTGTTAGGGCTGTATTTTTCATAGTTCATTCAAACAGAGAGCTGCAGCTATCAGTTTTGATAATCTCATCTGCTGGCTTATCCCTCAGGATCTGCTGCCCCCCCAGTTCTCATCCAGAGACAGGGCAAGTATGTCTGGGGTGGGTGCAACAGGTGCCAATCTAAATATGAGCTCATAGCTCATATCCATATTCTCTCACACTGACAGTAGTCAAGTTTAAAACTAGGTGTTTAAAACCCTTGTGATCTTTAGGAGGAAAACAATGGAACCAAAACCAGGGAATTATAGTTTGGAGACTAGCTCTAACATTCCAGCCTTTGAGAGAGCATTATCTTAGTATGTTAGCTGCCTCCTTGTAAGAACTACTGTTTTATGAGCACAACATTTCACTGCATGGCACAGTTGTCATGAATAGCCTTTATTTAGTACATGATTATGAGAAATACATCAACTTAATATCAAGTTACAGCTCATAAAGGGACACCAAAAAGTGAATCCATGAGGAAAAAAAAGTCAAATCCATCACTGTCAGGTTTTGATTTACATATATATGGTAAAAGAAAATAATTTGAACCCAAAGTGAGAACATAAACATCATCAATGATTCCCTTGAAATATCTGTGGCCATCAGTTAAAGGCATCTGATATTTCAAAACTAAACGAGACAGCCCATCTATAAACGTGTTATTGTCTCAAGACACTGTTCACAAACTGGTGAGATGTCAAGGAAGGATTTCTTTTCTCTTAAAATGACATCTATGATATTGGATAACTTGTTATCCAGAGGAAAAAAAAGAACTGTTGGGATTATGATTTGTGCTTTACAGAAAACAAGGAATCTAAAAGCAGATTCTGAATCAAATCCCTGGAGAACAGACCCTGTGTGTTTAAGTAAACTTAGGCACTGGGATTAACATAGTACGATAGGTAACCTAAGACAAAGACCATTTCTCTATGTCTGCAAACTCCAAGGTGACAGCTGACTACAGAGAACAGGCTCTGAATGAATGAAGTGAAAAATCAATGACTACAGTGCAGATGGTCAAAACAGTGGTGCTTGAAACTCTAACAAATGTTGTACTGAAAATAAGTCTATAGTGGACATTCAATTAGGAAAGGCTTTACTTTTGATACCTCAAACTGAGGACATAAAGGTTCATATGCCCAGAGAATGTATCTCCAAAATTTTCTCCAAACACAGATTTTTACAATTTGTAGTTTTGTCCTATATCAACTGCTTGCCTCATGTCACCTATTTGTGCAATAATCTATTAGAGATGACTATACTAGCTACAATTTTAGAAAAAAGTAAGATTGAATCTTGAACATGAGGTGCACTTACAGCCACCTCAAGAAACCACCCTAGTTATATCAGACTGGAGAGAGCACCAGAATACCATATTCCCGTTCTACATTTCAAATCAGCTCCAGTCCTGTTCCACTGTGGGTTCAACAGGCTACTCACAAGTACAGGGCAATGCAATTTGTTCGCATCTTTTTAAACCGGTTTCCACCAGACCTCTTTATTGGCAAGAAAAGAGACACCCAATAATATCTGAGCAGCTCAGATAAAGTATAGACATCTTCCTTGTAAACAGAGCTACATCTTCCTGCACCTGTGACTGCAACCGGTTTTACGTTACCACATACACTATTAAAAACTATAGCCTATTTAAGTCCAGAAATATGAAAGGAATACATCAGGTTTCTCCATACCCTACCAAATAGCTAAATAATCTTAGCATAAATGTATCATTTGTTGCTACAATCCACTGATGCAAACACCGTAGAAAGAAAAAGGTTAGAGATTAGTAGCTCCATACAGTTTTGCAAGATATAAACACTTTACTGACTATTCTTGTGAAAGACGATTTAGTCATCAACTGATGAAAAAAGTCTGCCAAAATACCTTAATTAGGACTAAATCACATCTTCTAAAAACGTGCCTAGTCTCTGAAGACATCAAGAGGTAGCAAATCCACAGCTTCTTCTAGTGGATTAACTGAAACACGTGCCTTAACTATTAAACGTGTTATTTTTTATTTAAGAAACCTGAGAAGAAAGCTTTTGCTTTTCTTCCCAAGTTAAGACAGTTGTTGACTCTAAGCAAGTCACCTAGATTTTTTATTTCTTTTTATAGGTCAGTTTAAGCTAAGCCTCTCCAGAAAAAACAAACTGAACCAAAACAGAAGTAAAAAAAAACAACCCCCAAACTGCCATACCGTGAGGTATTTTTTCCATAACTCTGGAACATTATTTAGGCTCTGTTCTATATTTTCTCAAGTGTTTCTAGATCTTTTTTTAGAAGTTAGGCATGGGAAAATGAAGAGATTTACTACTGGTCTCACTTAAAAAAAATAAAATACAAAGAGAAATTATATATCTAAAAATCATCTCTTTATTCTTCATGTGTTGTTTATCTATTCAAGGATCACAAGCTGTTTCTTTCTTTCTCCTAAGGGTGCTACACTGGAAGTCCACTTTTAGTGCAATATGCTCTGAAATCTCTTTTGGAGCCAGCGCTTTCGAAGATGGTCTTCTGTTCTACTAGTATATTCTGTATTCTCTGTTCCCAGATGCATGACTTTGCATATCTGTCTGTCCCGGAACATATTTGGTTTGAAAAGACCCAGTTTTCTAAGCAATCCTGATTGTTTATCTGAAAGCTTTATATCCGTTACTACACGCCACTCCATACATAAATTTTTAATCAATAGCTTTTCTTTTCCTAGTAAAAAATGAATCAGAATCAATACACAAATATCACCCCTGTGATGCAGCCCATACAGTATATATAATATTCCACTCAGAAAACCTGCTGAGACACAGAATGCTACAACCAACTGAGAAAAGTTATTCTTCTAACATGCTGAATTCTAGCTTCATGCAGTATTCTTTAACAACAAGCAGAGAGATCCATACAGAAAAGTAGCTTGATTTGGTTCTTCAAATCGAACTACAGTGATGACAGTGCAGAAACAGCATGACATCAATGCTAGCATACACTCCACTAAAATGCTAAAACTAAATCCATAAGGTAAGTCAGAAAACCACAAAAATTAAATAAACACATAAACGATCCTGAGCTCCCTTTGATATGTCCGCACGTATGTGACTGTGTTATTCAAGAACCAAATCAGTCTGCAAGAGATCAGCCCATACCCACCCTCCAAATAAAAATTCCTTGAAGTACGTGGGCTCGTTAAGCAATGCTACCCTTCAGAAACTCCCCCAGCAGCGGCAGAGCTACAGCCCGGAATACCTGCAGACCGAGACCCGACCGCGCTCTCGCGGGACCCAGCTCCGCGCTCCCCTCTGCTGCTGGCAGCGCTCCCCGCAGGAAGGCGGC